TATGGCAAGTCCTTAAGGAAATGGGAGTGCCTGACCACCTTATCTATCTCCTGAGAAACCTATATGTGGGACAGGAAGCAACAGTTAGAACTGGATATGGAACAACTGATTGGTTCAAAATTGGGAAAGGAGTACGACAAGGCTGTATATTGTCCCCCAGCTTATTTAACTTATATGCAGAATACATAATGCGGAAGGCTGGACTGGAGGAATCCCAAGCCGGAAGAAATATCAACAACCTCCGATATGCAGATGATACCACTCTGACGGCAGAAAGTGAGGAAGAATTAAAGAACCTTGTAATGAGGGTGAAAGAGCCCATGACTGGAGAAGGGAAAATTTAAATTAACATGAGCCTCTAAGCATTACAGCTCAGGCTTCCCTTACTTTGGAACTCTGTGAATTAGCTTGTTTTATATGGTGACCAATTTCACAAAAATCAAGAGCCTGCCTTAATCATCTTTCTGCGACCTTCAAGTGTGTTCACTCTAATTACTGGGTATATTTATTTCTGGCCTCATTTGTAGCCAGACTTTTTTCTTAATACAATGAACCTGCCTGGAAGTCCTGCCTGAGGTGGAGGACATATATACAGGTGCTGCAAAGATTGAGTTACTTTGGACAACGAAAGGCTTAGAATTAATCCTGATTTTCAAAACGGGGATAAAAAGAACCAATGCAAGGAAATGCAGATAGATTTATATGGACGCCAAAAGCTTATGGAAAGAATACTCTGATTTTTAAAATGAGCACCCACTGCTGCTTGTAGTTTTAAATGTAAAGGTGAAAAGACGTAGAACAAGTATCAGTAGAGAGCTAAAAAGACAAAAGAGATAAAAACACATAGCTATCCATATTTGATGTCTGAGCTGAACCAAACTTGAGGAGTCAACACAGCACTGACTGGCAATGACCAAGCTGGGCTGCAATCATGTAAACACTTTCCTTGAGGAAAGTGTCACGGATAGATAGATAAAACCTTTACTGGCATAATTAAAAATTGGACATAGTCAGGGTGGTTTGTTAACTACATATATAGGCACATCCTTAAAGGGACAATGGTTCATCTCCTAATAATAGTATCAAGGAAGTCTGAGACTCTTTCTACAATGTCAGTCATCTCAGCTGTCAGCATATAGTGAACTTTATCCAGATCTGACCTCCGTTCCAGCTGTAATAAAATTGGGGCTATTAACCATGATCGGTCGATCGAGTGAAGCAGGCAGTGCAAAAATATATGAACAAGGGTTTCCAGCACCCCCTGTTCACATGGGCAGTGCCTTTCAGAACAGGGAACTGTATTAAATCTGCCATATAATATAGCAGTAGGCATGACATTGCATCTGGCGAAAGGCCGTATGTTTTTGGGGGCCTTTGATCAAGGAAAGATAGGCAGCAGGTTTATCCATTTTAGAAGGAATATGGAAAAACAATGGTGAACAGAATTTATTGGCAGCACTAGAATGGTCCTGGAATTCGATATCCAAAATTCCTCTTTTAATAATTTGGAAAGCTAGCTCTTGACTTAAGAGCTCCAAGGTAGTTGCTATCTATACAAATTTATTTCAAGTTTTTCAAGAGGACCTTTGACCCAAAAGGTGGGACAGAGTCCCGCAGAAGTTGGTATAATAAGCTGTGCATATTTGAATTGTAATAGATACTTAACCAAAATTTGAATGATCTCAACCAAGCTACAGTCTATATACACTCTGGACTCCAGACAGCGTACCGAGTAGGGCACCCATCTAGGTAGTCCTAATGTTTTGCGTAAGGAGGGGTATTGTAGCTGTTCAATCCATCGATCCAAATTGGGAAACCATAGAAGGCTTGTGGAATAATTTTGGACTTGAAAACTTGTAATGCTGCTGGAATAAACTGATTTCCTGAAGTACAGTAAAAACGCAGAATAGATTGAGTAGAAATCCTAGCTGCGTTTATAGCCATTTTTCAATGGGGGACCCAAGAGTGTTTATAATGAAAAAGAACACCTAAGTATTTATTCTGTTTAACCTGTTCTATGTGATTTCCATTTAGGCTCCATTGAAATTGTTTCCATGTTTTGGCAAAAACAAATTATTTTTTATTTATTATAATTTAATTGCGTTTTATTTTTGCTCAGATACTCTGCACATCCATTAATCAGGCCTTTTAGGCCTGGACAAGTGCAGGAAATTATGACTGCATTATCCACATATAGTAGTATCAGGATGGGACCAGTTCCCAATTTGGGAGGGTGGCCATTGAAGTTTGTCAAAAAGGGAGTGAGATCATTCATAAAAAGGTTAAATAGTAAGGGAGCCAGGATGCAGCTATGTTTCAGTCTCTTGTTAGTTGGGACCTGGTTGGTTACTTCCCCTCTTTGAGAAGGTCGAATACTGTATGGCATGTTGCAGCAGAGTATAACCCTTTTATGAGGAGCAGTCTTTTATCAATGTCCAAATTTTTCAATTTGTCCCATAATAGTTGTCTATCTGCTGAATCCAAAGCTCCCTTTAAATCAAGGAAGGCCACATGCAGTCACTGAACAAAATATTCTGAGCAGATGCAAGGACTCCACTGAACATCTAAATGTCTCAGATGTTCTGGATGGATTCTAATTTTTCTTTTCTTCATTGCCCTTTCTTAACTTGTTAGTGTAAACCCATTTGTGCTTGAACCTGTTACAGACAAACCTGCATTTCTGCAGTAAGGAAAAATTATTCAACTATGCAATTATAAGAGAGGGATGCGCAGACAACTCCCAATCCCAAGGCAGATGTTTCTCAAACAGCAAGAAGGAATTCTACTATGCAGGTGTTCCAGTTTGGAACAGCCCAGCATGTAATGACCAATAAGTAATTGGGCATACAAGATATTTTAAACACATCACCTTGAATCCTGGAAAAAATGTAGGCCTAACTAAGTTTTGCTAACTACAGTGTACCTATTTCTGTACAAAAACACAAGAAAATTATAGCAATAAATTGCTGCTAATTAACATATGGCTGCATTCCTGGTTGCACACCCAGTAACATAAGGGTTAAGGTAAAGGCTCTCCTTGACATTTAGTCCAGTCATGTCCAACTCTAGGGCGCGGTGCTCATCCCCGTCAGAGCCAGTGTTTGTCTATAGACAGTTTCTGTGGTCATGTGGCCAGCGTGACTAGACACGGAACGCTGTTACCTTCCCACTGTGGCGGTACATATTTATCTATTTGCATTTACATGCTTTCGAACTGCTAGGCTGGCAGGATCTGGGAAAAACGATGGAAGCTCACTCCATTGCATGGATTCAATCTTATGATTGGTGGTCTTCTGACCTTGCAGTACAGAGGCTTCTGCGGTTTAACCCACAGTGCCATGTCCCTTTAGCTGCTAAGCAAAAACCCACCTGATATGTCAACTGGCAATGTCACTTATTGAACTGTAAATTGCCAACAGCCCATGAGTCCCAATATACAGTGGTGCATCGCATTACAATTGCCCCATCTAACGATGAAACCGCATTATGATGAACTTTTTGCGATCGCTTTTGTGATCGCAAAACAATGTTTCCTATGGGGGAATTTCGCTTCGTGATAATCGGTTCCCTGCATTGGGAACCGATTCTTTGCAAAACGACGATTTTCCAACAGCTGATCAGCGGTTTCAAAATGGCCGCCGGGTAAACAAAATGCCCCCCCACTGTTTTCTGGGACGGATTCCTCGCTGCACAGGCAGTGAAAATGGCCGCCCTATGGAGGATCTTCGCTGGACGGTGAGTTTACAGCCCTTTGGAACGCATTAAACGGGTTTTAATGCGTTTCAATGGTTTTTTTCTTTTCGCATTACGACATTTTCGTTCTACAGCGATTTCGCTGGAACGAATTAATGTCGTAATGTGAGGCACCACTGTAGATATATCAAAACCTTAACTAAAAGGATTTTAAAAAATTGGAGGCACAAGTGTAACCACTGGAATACAGAAACAAATACTTTAGAATTAAAACAAAATTACATCGGATCATAGTTTGCAATGAAACGAGATCCTCCATTTCTTTCTCACCATTTCCCAACAGCGATTATATCTAAATTCTGAACTTGTCTCATATTGTGGGAAAAATTACCTCCTTCGTTCAGCATCTTGCGGATCTGTTCCAGGCAAGCTGATAGTAATGGATGAAGGGGCGCCGACATCGTAACGTTTCACTGTTTTCCGACAGACTTTCACTTTAACCAAGATGCTGTGCACAAGATTAGCCAATAAACCAACCACTGGTTGTAAGATCTCAGGAAAGAATGTGGCAAATGCAAAGTGGTCTGACATGTCACCACGTCCTCTGCTGTGTCTCTGGTAAAAACGGAGATATATCCAACTGGAGAGAACCCCAAAACCATAGGAAGCCAAGATATTACTTTCAATAAGTGTGGTTAATCTCAGAACTGCCAAAATCAAGAGCAAAAGCATGGGAACAACCTTCATCCGTACCTGAGGTATCTTCAACACAGTACTGTCACCCATGGTCTGCTTAAGAGCCACTAAAACTCCCCCGAGGAAGCCCAACATGCCATAGATGCGAACAGTGAACAGATAAGAAAGGTTGAATGATGCCATATAGGTGAGAAGATAAGCAAAGGCGCCCAGGAGCCCAACTGAAACATTCACCACTGTGAAAAAGATCAATAGCTCCATGGCTCCCCATAATGGTTCTAGCAACCTTCCTGCTACCACTATAGTGGCTAGGCTCACGCCTACGTCCCAGATATGTTTCTCCACCACACTGTGGGTTGCCAACGTCCAGATCCAGAAGTTGGGTGGGAAGAGATACCCAGGTGTCACTCCAAGTCCAAATACTGTGTCCACAGCAAAGGAGAGAAGGTATAGAAGGATGACGATGGCACACAGGGATTTCACAACCACGCTGGTGCTGGCCAGAGCAGCCAGGAAATGTTGGCGAGCTACTGGGAGATATCTGTTCATGTTGACACCCACAAGGCAGGGTCCTTGAGCCGAGTTTCTTGGTTTAGGAGGAGGGGGAAGGATCCGGCAGCCGGGGAAAACCGGTTTTCTCAGCACAGATTCGCTCTCAGTTCCATGATCTTCTTCAGCACGCCTCTTAAAGGGGGGGGGCAGCTACGAAGGTCTAACCCAGAGGAGGTCTCTCTGTTCTGGGGATGCGCCGCCCTCCTTATCCTCCCTGGCCCGAACTGGAAGTCATCAGGAACTCCCTGAAGGGAGGCGGCGGCGGACCCTCTCCCACAGAACGGTCACGATCCTGCTAACGCCCGAAGGCACAGCTGAGGAAGTTTCCTGAGGGGCGCACCGCCAAAGGGGCGGGAGCCTTTTAGGACTCACTTAAGACGGCCAGGCGGAGGCGTCTGGCGAGTGGCGGCCGCAGCCCAGCCCGTCGTAGCCCCATTCAGCCCGACGGCGAGGGCGGAAGGCTGTCCAGGGAGGGCCTCCCCTCTCTTGGGCCCGCCGGGGACGGCACACACTCTTTCCCTCACCAGCTCGTCCCGGCGAGGCCGACTCCCAGAAGCCCTCGGCCCAAGGAGTGGCTCGCCTGCTGCTTGCTTTCGGGCCTGGCCTCTGCTACCCCGGGCCTCTGCTCCGACGCAAACAAACACCGCGATTGCGCACGCGTGGCTGTGTCGTGAGCTCTCCGACGCATGCCGGGAAGTGGAGTCTCCAGGCCTGTGTCCAGCGACGGCACTTCGGAAGCGGAGGACTACAAATCCCAGAGAGGACCCAGAAAAACCATATCTGCGCGCCGAAGCGCGAGAAAGCAGGGTGCGGACAAATCAGAGCCTGGGCGCTTTGAGGCTTCTCGGACTTTCAGGTTGGGAAGGAAGGAAGGAAGGAGAGAGCGGGGGGGGGAAGAAGGCAGCCAGAATCTGATTGGCTGTGAGCAGCATGGTGGGTGTGGTTGCAGTAAAGAGCGTCGTCGCATTGGCTAAGAAGTTAGTTCCATGAGCTTGAGTGCGGTGCGAGAGTGATTTTCTTTTCTTTTATAAATGGGCCCTTAAGGTTGATGGTCCAGGTAAGGCTGGGAGAGACGAGTCTGTTTGTTCTCGCCTCAGACGGGAACGAATTAATGTCGAGTGTCATCGAAGATATAAACATGAATTTGACCCAACTCCGGGAGGCAGTGGAAGATAGGAGGGCTTGGCGTGCTCTGGTCCATGGGGGTCACGAAGAGTCGGACAGGACTAGACGACGACGACGAAAACGCGATTCCCTTCCCCCCCCTCAAAGAAACTTAGTATAATGGCACTACCCGCAGAGGTCCGGCATCGGGTTCTTCTGCTTCCTCGGCGTCGTTCTCCAAGGGCGGGAATAGCGTGCTCGGTGTGAGGGAAGGTCGGTCAGGGCGGAGTGGCTCGCCCCCAGAGACGGTCAGGGGGGGGCAGCTCGTTCCCTGCCTCCTGGTAGTCGGAGGTGCGCTCCCCACTCGGTTCAATGGTCCCTCGTTCCCAGTAGGATTAAGCGGTGGTTCCCCGCTTTGGGTCATCCCGGTGTTCTTGGACTGCAACTCCCAGAAGCCTTCACCACCACCTGTGCTGGCCAGGGTTTCTGGGAGTTGCAGTCCAAGAGTGCCTGGGTTGCCCAAGGGTGGGGAAAACCCCGCTGTCTCGCGGCCGGCGATACTCGCTCTTGAGGCGCGCGGGGCAGGGTTTCTGGGAGTTGCAGTCCAAGAGCGCCTGGGTTGCCCAAGGGTGGGGGAAACCCTTTGCTGTCTCGCGGCCGGCAAGACTCGCTCTTGAGGCCCGCGCGGCGAGTTCCAAAGCAAAGGGAGGGATTTCCGGACAGAGTTTGAAGTAAATGGCGCTCAGCTGTGCTGCGCTGCCAACGTTTTGCTGCCAGCTGCCTTCTCTAGGCTATCCTTCCCCCTGTGACCTCCTCTCGTTGGAACTCTTGTCATCAAGTCGCTGCTGTTTTAGGGAGACCCTAATAGGGCTTTTGAGGAGTGTGACGTGTTAAAAGAAAAAAGCCCCTCACGAATACTCTTAATTCTTAAACTGAAACCCTGGAATAAGCCGACTAAACTGAACTCTATGGGACTTACTCGGTGGGTAAGACCTCTGTGAAAGAAGCATTGAAAACAGGCGATGGTTTCAGGAAGGGTTTTTTTCTGAATCGAGATGGATAATTTGCTTTAGGTAGCATGGCTGAATGTTTTTGTGTATAGGGTAATCATAAGATAATCAGGCTTGTGAGGAAAAGGAGAATCATAAATGTTTTTATTGTTGCTAGCACTAATATTATTACTTGTAAAATAAACACTAAGTAAACAGGCATTCTATAGCAGCCTGTAGTCTTAATAGAGATAAAAACTGCAAACAATTAATTAAGCCATTGTTTACCATGTGGTGTGTGTTTTGTGCTGTCAAGTCAGAACCAATGTATAATGACCCTAATAGGATTTTCAAGGTAAGGGAGAGATCAGAGTA